TTACTAATGTATACAATGTGTAGTGTTATGTTGAGTATAATTGGAAATGAATATTTAATGGTACCCATGTAAGGAAGATTAGAAATACCTTTGGATTATACATAAAGGTTAATAAAAAAAAACAAGAACCAAGTTAGATACAGCTAAAGTTTTGATTATTAGGGAGAAAATGTTATGATGCAGGATATAGTTAAATAAAGGAAGGATAAGAATAACGTATATATAGATATGGGTATAACATAAGAAAACTGGATGTAAACATGAAACTGATTTGGAAAGGAGGATTAGAAAACTTTGCTATTAAATATTATGGATGTTTAGCTAGAATAGGACATAAGAATTTAGTGTTAGTGGAGGATTTTAGAAATAGTAATTGAAAGGCCAGTATGTGGTTATGTCTTAAATTTTAGTATATTTTATGATGGATGCTTAAACAATTATAGTCAAATGAAAATCGAGATATAATGATTGTGGCATGTATAAATATTTGAGTTAATGTAATAGGGATCTGAGGCTCTGCAGAAAAAGAGTTTGGGAATTCTTACAAGATGATGCAAGATGCAGCCAATCATTTGCCTCTGACCTGAAGGATACAGGCACAGAGATATAGTGTATTGCAACAAACTCTGTATTCAAGCTCTATTTCAACCTAATAATAATTCCAGCCAACATTACAGAGGAGGCAAAGAAGAAAGTCATTTCACCTATTAATATGTAATCTCTCTAGAATTGTTTGATCAACAGCACTGTGTGTTAAATACAAATATAAATGCTGCAGGCAGAAAACCATCTCTGCCACCTGGTGGAGGACTCCAGAAGGAATCTGCTCAATGTACCATGTAACCTTTCTCTGCCTAACCTTGTGCGTTGTACTTTTATCACAGACTGGTTACTAGGCAGCGTCCACTTTCAAATTCATCGTTTTAAAATAGTTTGGGAACTTTGACTATTACTTTGTCTCTTTTATCTTCTATAGGATGCTGTGTGACAACAATCCAGGCTTGGGACATGAGATGTGAGATTCCCACTGTGGTCCTTGTTACTTGCTGCCCCCATGGTTTTGCTGGTTCTTACAAAAGAAATTGAGAAGTTGAGAAAGAGAGATGGTAGAAGACAAATCAGCTCAATAATATTGATTTCCCAGCTTTGCACACATTGAGTCAGACAAGTGCAAACACTGTTTTAATGACCATTGCTGTTCAAAAAGAGAAACTGGGATACTCACCCAAACCTGCAAGAAACAAATTGGATAAGTAGCTACATGAAAACTGTGAAGGGTCACTGTCAAATTGGACTGGGGAAAACAGTGTAAATTAGACAACATTGTTCTGGAAGAAACCCAGAAGTTCCACGATAGACCTATTTTTTATTCTTTGTTAAATAATCTAGAAGAAAGAACAACAGTTAAAGAAAACATAAACAATGGGGGCTGCAGGTGTGTGACCTTTCTTAAGTTACACCCCGTACACTTCCAGATTAACATCAACCTTTTCTGAAGGACACGTTGAATTTCTGGGTTGGGTTTTTTTCAACTGGCTAAGAAATGAGTCTTGGGAAACTACCCGTGATTGGCTGGGTGTCTGGCTCACACAGCAAACGTCGATTCAAAACAGAATTGACCTCGGACATGATCAGCCCACCACTGGGGGACTTTCGTCACACCATGCATGTGGGACGTGGTGGGGATGACTTTGGAGACACTTCTTTCCTTAGGAACCATGGTGGAGAGGAAGTCAAACCCCACAATTTCTTTGCTCGGACATTGTGGCACGTGAGGAGGAGCCCGCTAAGGAACCGGGGAAGCCGAAACAAGGATCAGGATTCATCTGCACCTCCTGCCATCTCACCCATCATCAAGAATGCTGTGTCCCTGCCTCAGCTCAATCAGAGCCACTATGACAGTGATGATCTTGGTATAGCATTTGCCTTCAAGAAACCCCCAACAAGCTTCTCTGACTATGGTAGGTGGCTTCTAAGGTAACTTGTTTGAGTCAAATGGGTTGTCTTGTTTTAGACATTAATTATTTCCGTGCTTTGGTTTATTTAGATCAATGTTTCTTGATTTCGGCAACTTTTAAGATGGGTGGACTTTAATTCCCAGAATCCCCTTGCCAGTCTGATTGGCTAGAGAATTCTGAAAGTTGAGGTCCACCCATCTTAAAGTTGCCAAGGTTGAGGAACACTGATTTAGATTCACGACAAGAAACATTTCATAAGTACACTCAAATAGACATTTCAATAATATTTTTAGAAGTCTATACATTTTGGATTGACAAGTGCCATACTGCAGTATGTGTTTAAGGGAAGTTTGTCACACATTATCTTTACATTACAGTTTCTAGGATTCTCTGCTGCAGTAATTTTCTTTTTTTGGTCTCCCATTCTTTTCTTGAAAACAGATCTGCAATATGTGATTACCAAATCATTATTTTGAATAACATGTACTGGCTCTTAAGTCGTAGCATTCTCTTAGTACATATTCAAATGACATCTTTGAAGAGTTCCTCAGAAGCTTTGCAACAAGAAGTTCCTATAAGTATATAAGTCTACTTTTTTTTTAAAAAAAAGAATAAAATAAAAGACGGAAAATGGAGGGTTTTTAGCAGGAAACCACAATGTGACTTGTAGCTTTCAGATGTCCTTTTATTGGCCTTTCAGCCAGCAGGCATCTGAGAGTGTTTTAAAGTTTCATCAATATTTTTTTTTGGGGGGGGGGTGGTCTAGTGGTTCTTCTGCTACATATTTATGAAGTCTACATCAATTCTATAAGTCATATGTTTTCAGAATGCACTTGGTATTTTCCTGGAATGATAACGATAAGACCAGAAATAGCTACGTGTTTTTTCTGGTTTACCCAACAATCCATAGACAGCAGGAGATTAGAAATGGGCAGTGTAGTTATAAATGGAAAGGAAAGGGAAAGGGTGGGGTAATCTCAAATTGCAACTTTGCATGAGATTGGCGACAACAACAAAATGAAGCAAGTATGTTATGAAGAGTCTAGAAACTGCAAAAATAATATTGTTAGAGCAATCTTAACTTTTGCTGCAGAATAAACACTAGAACAGATGGTCTCACATGCCAATTATTTCTTAATGCTTAATATGTCCTCAACATCCTTGCTTATCTATTTGCTAATAACTTTTATTTTTATCTATTACTATATTGTTTATTCTAAATCAAAATCTTACCATCTGCAGTTGAGTAAACTACATCGGTGGTACATAAGCAAAATAAACTCTGGAAGAGTCAACTTGATGAAAAACAGAACAGAAATAATTTGGAGCAATAAGATCTGCCTGGAGGGGTGGGCGAGCTATAAGGTAGCAGCATAACCTTAAACTTTAGAAGTGAACAGAATATAAAAATCTATTGCTAAGCTCTAAATAATCAGCAACTAAGAATGTTGCATATGTTGTAGCAATCAGAATAAATTGAAACTTAGGATATGTTCAACATGACATGAGATACACCTACCAGTGTACAAATTCTACATCAGGAAGACAGAATCTCTGGAAAAGGAGGTTCTTCCAACTGTCATACATGGTTACAAACAGCCTATGTACTCAGGGTGGGATTCAGCGGGTTCGGATCGGTTCGGGCAAACCAGTAGCTTGGACGATCAGCTGGGAATGAATTGGTTCGCTCCGATTATCAGTTTAGCAATAGCAATAGCAGTTAGACTTATATACCGCTTCATAGGGCTTTCAGCCCTCTCTAAGCGGTTTACAGAGTCAGCATATTGCCCTCAACAACAATCCGGGTTCTCATTTTACCCACCTCGGAAGGATGGAAGGCTGAGTCAACCCTGAGCCGGTGAGATTTGAACAGCCGAATTGCAGAACTGCAGTCAGCTGAAGTAGCCTGCAGTGCTGCATTTAACCACTGCGCCACCACGGCTCTTTGGCCTGCCCACCCACCCCTGCACTTTACTTATCTATATCCTCTCAGCTGATTCTCACTGCAGAGCAGATTGCTCCGCCTCAGCTGTGTTACTCCCCAGAAGTAATGTGAAAAGTAAGTTTTGTTCAAACTGCTGACGTGAAAAAGCCCACAATCACCGAAATGGTTGTTAAACCGGCAGGATCCCACCACTGTATGTACTATATAAGCCAGACATTTCTCTGTGTGTAGGCCATTTCACTTTATGCTGAATTTAAACGGAGGTAGGAGAAAAACAGAAGAGTTATGTCTCCACTTATAAAAACACACATTGCATACCTCCTGATTATAGCTTTTTAGACTTATCTGCAACTGCATGTAGACATCAATGCATACTTATGTTGTAAAACGCTTGATGGATAAGTGTAGGTTGCAGAAGGTTGCAGATGGACTGATGCGCATATTTCCCAAATCTCAACTACATGTTGTGTTGAGATGTGCATCCTGCATGCTGATTGACTGATCCAACTTCCTGTTGGCTTTGTTCTGTGCACATCCTCTAGCTGGAACATTCAAATTCACAGAAGTCTAAATGCAACAACTATGCAACTATCTCCAGACACAGACAGACACATATGTTCCCGAATATGCAGCAACACTGATGTCTACTCCAGGCTAATGGCTCTAATAATGTTATTTGATTAGCATCATCTCAAATGAGATGCTTTGTTCCACTGATTTCACCTGAAACACATTGGAATCCTTTACAGCTGAAATTGGTGTAACAATAACATACCTTGAATCAATAAATTGATCATGACTTTGTGCTTACAGAAGTCGGACATTTCATTACTCTACCGTAAACATAGAACTAACTCTGGGTCTATGCTAATACATGCAATGCTGTGTGTCTATTTGGAGAGTTGGTAAATATGTCAAAAGAAGAGAAAAATTGTCATCAAAGGCATTATTATTTTTGTACACTTGTTTTGTAAGTTAAATCTTAATAAGCAAATGCAATGAGACATGCATCAGTTGAAACATATCTAGGATCTGTGCTGTTTTGCTAGGTTTGAGTAGATATCTATATAAGATGTTGGGAAGATTAGTGCTGGAAACATGGCCTGTGTCCAGCAAGGGAATCTGTATTCAGTACAGGATGCCAACCAAGCAACTGATAGGAAAAGAGAAGAATTTCTATGTAAAGAAGGAATTTATGAAACAGGAATATTTGGATCACGAGAGGAAACCAGAATGAAATAGAACAGATCTCCTCTGGGGTCAAATGCTAAACCTGGATGTTGCTCAGATGTTTCCAGACAATCTTCTGGGCACCCACCTTATCAACATAGAAAGAAGTAGTCCAATTCTGATCTCAACTCAAAACAGTGGAACATGCTCAGGTTTTACGCTGTTTAATTGGCAGCTGCTTTCTTTACCTCCTGTGGTGTCTGCATCTGCAGTAGAAAACTGCAGCATTTGCACTGAGGTGGGACCAGGAGAGTCACTCTGAACAACTGCAGCTCCTGTACAGTTATCTTTGCCCACATTGCCAGTCTAGCAATGTGTTGTTCTTTCCAGCTTTTCTTCAAGAGACACGAGACAATGCTGCCCTCTGTTGTACATGATGAATTGTGCAGTTGTTGAAATAATCACATTCCCCTTTCCAGCTTTCTACACTTTATCATTCCTCCTGCAAATTCCAGCTTCATGAGCAAAGTGCAGAAAAGATAAGGTTAGCCAATCATTTAGAGAGAAAACTAGTTCCCCATTCTTTCTGCTTTTATCCATTTGATCTTCAGAGTGTAATCAAACCTGCGGTTCCATTGCCCCCGAAGTATTTGCTCCCTAAATAAGCATGACCAATATTTCATTGCCCAGGCTAGCTGGCTCTGATGCATAATTCATACTGCTCTTAGAATCACATGTTTAGCAACAGGCAGGAGGATATACACAGACGATCTTGACTAAGGCAGTACCTATGTACCTAAGGTATCTTTATTCCAGAGATGAGACTGGATGAAATGTGCCTTGAAAAATTAAGTAACCATATTGAACCATCATAAGATCATTTGTTATGCTTTTTAAATAAAAAGCAGGGTGTAATTTTAAAATAAAGAGTCAATGTGATGGAATGTGCACCTGGAGAAGAGCTTTGGCAGCACAGGGCTTTCCTTGGCAGTAAATTCCATCAGAGGCCCAAATTAAGAGACTGCACAGTCTTGAGCTGGATGGAGAGGGAGGAAGAGGTGCAGGGTAGCCACACCCTAGAATCCCTCAGGATGTATCTAGCAGGTTACAGCTTTAGTTTGGCAAGATTCTGTCCATTAGTTATAAGCAAATAAAGAATTGAATTTGATTGCATTTCGGTGTGTTGGCTCTGGGTTTGGACCTGACAGTCAACTAGATCTCTCTATATCAACAATCTCTTTTCTCCATCGAGGCCACCCCAGATTTTTATAGGATGTTCATAGACTTCTTTGGTTCCTCCTGGCACATGTTTCTCTGGCAACTGACATTCGAAACATAATGCTTCCCACAGTATCAATAATACACAGCCTTAAAGGCACCAGGTTTGGAAAGATTGCTCTATGAAGATAATCTAGCACTATTTATATTTAATGGAAGAACTATCACATTATCCATTTCATTCTTTCTGCCAATGTGTGACATACAGTAATTCTGATTAAGGATAGGAGGATGAATGAGCCAGAATGTCACAAAACAGCCTACTTTGCATCTTTTAGATATGAGAAATCCCATTGTTCAGGAATCATGCTCAGAATTCACACTGCAGGTTGAACAGGGTTAAAATTAAAATGAATAATCAATCATAGTTTCTGGTTCAATATGTTATGATATATTGCCAACAGGTTAACACTTTGTAATATCAGGCGCAGGGACATTCAAGAGGGAGGGGCATCAAATGTCATCATGTATGTGTTCATATCAACCCACAATGGCCATGACTTACAAACTGATGTTAAATGGCATGATGCCAGCATATAACATAACTATTTTTGTGATGATGCTAATATGCCTGATAATGGACCCCATGGGTTTATATATTTTTAACAGTATGGCATGTCTTCAGTTTCAGTCTAGAAATAGAATACATATATGCCATGTAATGCCATGTAACACTCTAATTTTGAACCTGTTTTTATATATTTCCTTTACTGGCTCTGGGAGCCCACTGTTGAAGGATGGCTACTAGGTTAACTCAGGGATGAAACATTTGCTCTTGGCACCAAGCACAGTTCGTTAGAAACAGCTCACAATCCTCTGAGCTGTGACTAATTTGCATATTTTAGCTGTATGCTATTAACACAAATGTGCATGAGGTGGCAAATGTGAATCAATGTTAGTCTGACATGGTACACTCACTCCACAATAGCCTTATCCTGAAATGGTAATCTCTTGCAGAGAAATCTCGACTAAGCAGTAAGAGAAAGAAATAACTCATCTCTCTAGCTTGCTCTCTTGTCTCCTCCCCCTCCCCCTCCCACCCACCAAAAACCACCACACATTTGTGGTCTTAAAGAAAAATATTCATATATATATATATATGAATATGAATGAATGAATGAATGATTGGTTTTCATTTCCTTGATTTTCTTTTTGCCTTTAACCCATTTGCTGTCACATTGTCAATCTTTTGTCCAGAGATTTGCAACATGAAAGCTGCGGTTATGAATAGGGTACATGAAAAACCTCTAGTTTCCCTCAAATTATGAAATAATACCAACCTGTTCTCATATTTCACATTCTGCAAATATAGAATTGTCACCTTCGTCTATAACTAATAAAGCAGAATAGTATTTCTATTTTTTCTCATTATTGATTTCATGGCCTTTCAGGACTAGAATCTGGATTCTGCACCATCCCACGTGTTCCCCGGTCTGAGAAGCCTCCCGAGAACTCCCATTCTGCTGAATCCCATCCTGCTGAGTCCCATCCTGCTGAATCGGCATTGCAGCGTTCAGATTCCTTTCTGTCTTTCCGCCTGGACCTTGGGCCCTCTCTCATGAGTGAACTTCTTCATGTCATCAGCTTCTCAGGAAGCAGCAGCTCTGACTGCAAGGAAAAGAAAGAATGCGAAGAGAGGAAACCCCCAAGCAGCAGTGAGCCCCACTCTTCCCTTCACATCAAGAGAAACTGGTCAGAGGATTCACTACCTGGGAAGTCAGGATCTTGTCATGGTAATAATAATGAAGAAAGCCAAAATGTATCAAGCCTTTTGGATTACTCCGAGCTTAGATCACCTTTGGGACATTTGGCCTATGCCAACGGGGATTCCCATTCTATAGAGATGTCTGCCAACGGGGATTCCCATTCTATAGAGATGTCTGAGGAAGGGTCTCCCTGTTTGAGAAGCAGGAGTTCTAGTTCTGAAGGGTACCACAAGGACTGTAACATGGAAGCGCAAGAATTCAACCATGCTGCCCGTATCTTAGCATGCCATTATGGGGCAGGAAGCACTTACTGCAGTCCATCTCCACAAGAAGATCCCAGGAGACAAGCCTCATGGGAAAGCCCAGTTGCCAACTCATGGCACTTGAAAGTAGGTGCACCTGAGCAACAGGAATGTTCTACCAGGTGGCGACAAAGAGGAGAAGAGGAGGAGGAGGAAGAGGAGGAGGAAGAAGAAGAGGAGGACCACAAGAAGTCTGACAGTGATGAAGAAACCATTGTTAGAGAGGGACACAGTGATTCCTTTGAATATGTTGATGAAGAGGATGAAGATGAAGTTAAGGTTTGAACGGACATATAAGTTCTCTTGTGGCCTCTTAGGAGATATCAGAGCAAAATGAAACAATGTAAAGCTATCTGGCATTCTGGATATGTGCAGATTCACAAGGTTAGCCTTCTTTCCAGATGATCTACTGTATGTCAGTGTTTCCTAAACTGGTGTTTTCAGGCACCAGTTTGAATTCCCATAGAGTGATACGTTCTACCACCCTTAAAGAGTGGAAAGGCTAGAAAAGGCAGATGGAGGACGGAACTCATTTCTCTATCTTGGTCTCTCTCCTCCTTGCTTTGTGGGTTTAAAAAAAGAAATAGGAAAATGGAACAATTTAGAGCAAACACCAAAGTATTAGTTGCTCTTTTGTGGCAGCTGACAGTTAAAGATGCGTATAACTTCACATGCTCCTTCCTTCCCATTGGCTGACTGATTTCATCATGACAGATGATACCATTATTTTTCTATTCCCTAGAAATAAAAACATTTATACTTAAGAATAGAGACCACTGAGACCTTTTATAACTATCTCTATCAAATAACTATAAGGAAAAATGCCAGTTAAAAAAGAACAGTCTAGAAAGGGGAAGAGAAACCGTACTTCCATTGAGACAATATTTTCCTAACTGTCTTGTGCTGAAAATAAAGATCAACTCAACTGTTTTTCCAATCCAAGATACTGGGACACCAGCTAGGCAGGATGGTTCCTCTCCTCTTTTTACAAGAAACACAGAATTTGGATTGGATCTGAAACCAGTTCAACAACACACTGACCATTTTTCCTGCACCAGAAACCCTAATTGAGATAGGGTTATTTGTTGTTTATTATACACCCTCAGAAGGAAATGTAACCCCAATCTGCCAATTGTGATCATTCCATGGAATCTGTATTTTAAGCTTCTTGTTGTTTTGTGTACTTCCAGAGAGTGCCCAGAATTCAATTTATGTTAAGGATCTAATTTACCGACATGGAGGGCTGAAATACAGCTTTCCATCCTGTACCTCCTCATTCAGGCATTAGCAACGCAAAGCCTTAAGTAAGAGTTTGTTTCTAGCCCTTATAGCTTTGCATAGTTACTGCAGCAGCTTATCCACAGTAGTTGTTCAGGAAGAAAAGGAAATTATTTCTCAAGCTAAAATCAGATTCTAAAACAGGGCTGCTTTTCATGCTTCCATGTTCCAAAAAAAAGAGGAGAGTTTACATGTTATCTTGGAAGCCTTCCAGGTAGCCCCTGAATTTGCTGCTACTGCCATATACGAGGCTGTGGGTTAGCTGAGTAGAACACAATGCCTGCAATCATTCCACTTCCCAATTATGATATAGCATGGCTTAAACAGGGAGGACAGCATGCATAAAGTCACCCTTGCACATTTCCCTTTTCCTTTAAAACGCGTATATCTGCCACAACTGAACACTCTTGGACGCTCTTCTCCATACCAGGGAAAGAGATGCCATGAAATCTAAAAATGCAGCCTTGCATGTCTTTGGCCACGCGCTCTACCAACATACTTCTGCCCTTCTGCCCACTGATAGAAATAACTTTCATTGGTCAGGCAATACTCCCCTTCCCCCTTTGTCTCAGACCATTCAGACAACCATAAGTTATACCCTCCTTAAGAGAAGGGGGTTTCTTTCAAATTCTCCTTGAGGGGTGATCAGACCACTTAACCTGCTGATTAAGTATCTCAGTATGCACTTTATTCTCACAGCAACAGTTGACCACCCTCAAAAGGAGAAAAAATGGGTAAACTTTTTCTCTCTGGCTAATTATAGTGATGACCATTTTTTACACACAGATATTTTGGAAGCATCCCTAGTTGAGATAAGTCAGTCTGAATCATGTCTTTGTGCTCATTTTGAAGGAGCTCTCAGACAGTTCTGTTGGCTGGGAAAGAAGGGTTGTCTTGTCCTAGACATGGAAGAACATGAGAACTAGGCTCCTCACTCCCCCTTCCCCTACATATTTTCAGAAGATACTCATACATTGCCCTCTTGCAGCTCCCACCCATCTGCCTGCATTTTTCCCTAACCAAATCACTCTCTCAAGGAACTATTCAGCTGAGAAACCAAAGGGAAGAAGTAGATGTCATACAGCAAATTCTTTAGGGGATTAGCAGCTGTGAAAAAGAAATGTTGCCAAAGGATCACTGAGTAGCAGTGAGATTTCTCCAATCAACTGAAATCATGTTTTAAAAGCTGGCATAAGTATGTTTGAATATTCTTCCTTCCCTCAGAAAGATTCCCCAAAGTTGTTCCTTTGGGTTGGTTTTAGCTAAGCAAACCAAAGTAAAACATAGTACATGGAGATTCAAACCTCCATGATAATTGATCATTAAGATAAGGTGATAATTAGGATGTTTTCTTCTTCTTTACCAATATCTGCATTACTGGTAGGGTATCTTTTTGCAGCCAAAGACTAGCTCCTTGGGGATAATTGAGGGGGCACATAGACACGGGTAAATAATTAGTGGGATCCAAGACTCCAAAAAGATATGTACATTTATTCTGTCTCTGACACTCATTGTGAGTTTTTGGTTTACTTACTACCACCTTTCCCACTCTCTTCCAAGTAACAGGCTATAGATAAAGGAAGATTTCTCTTAACCAGAAGTTTGAAGAAATCACTTTTACCAGGAGTGTTAAACTCGCGGTGTCATGGCAGCGTCACATGACATATTGAGACTTTTTTTCCCCCTTCGCTAAACCGGGCGTGGCCAACACATAACACATCGGGCCTGCAGGCCACGAGTTTGACAGCCCTGACTTACACCCTGTGATAAGAATACAAACTACCCACCTCGGTTATAATATCCTAGTGAGTACAGATAGCCCTCATTTAACAACCTCTTTGTTTGGCAACAATTCACACTTGCAACAGTCGTCATGAAAAAGGAACAGTTGTGACCATTCCTCACATTAATGACTTTTGCGGGCCTGTAAAGCAAAAGAAAGCTGAAGTAAAATCATAGACACCAAAAGGGATTCTCTTAGTGGCCACTTCATGTAACAACTATGGTAGTTAAATGAGTATTATCTGTAGAAAACTCTGTCCTACAGAACCACTTTACTCCATAGTCCTGTCTTGTGAGGTATACTGTTTATATATTCTGTCACTTTTCCAGGAACTTGAACGAGTAAAAGTGCTTTTCTACAGGCTTATTCTTGGCTTGTCTTCCTGAGATTTGGATTCACTGGAGCATTAGATGACAGTATCCGATTACATTTGGGATGCCCTCTGACAACATGGATTTTTTGGAATGAGCAAGCTCTTTCCATATTCACAGATTTTTTTTTCCTTGTGGCAAGCAGAGATGTCTGGGAGATGAGGTCACCAAAATGTCCCTCACAGCACCACGATTGTTCACAAGTTGGCAGCAGCTGGAGGAAGTCTAATCCTGCAGTGAGTTGTACGTGGCAGGAGGAGGGAGAAAAAGCAGGAAGAAACAGAGAAAATACAGTCAATAGGCACTATGTGGCAACATCTAGCTAACTGATTTTCTGTGGTGGGTGGCTTATAACAGGCTAACTTCAACCCCACTGCCTGAGCAGCAGAAAGGACTGTAAGCATCTTTAAACAACATATCAATAGCGATTTGGCATTTAGCTGGAATTCATCATGGCTAGAGATGGATTTTAGGAAGGGTTGGCTTAAATACTGAACAAGGTGGGATGTTAAGTACACCTTTGCAATCAAGTGCACATTTTTTAAATAAAAATCAATTGGCTATATAGAGAGCTAAGCCATAGGCTTATCTAGTAGTGATATTTGCACTGGCTGACGTGAATTCAACAGGCACTTTTCACAGCCCTATCTGGAGAGATTGAGAATTGAAACTGGAAATCTAGTATACAAAGCTGATTCTATCCCACAAAATAATACTATTAATGGAAGCTTTCCTTCCTATACATAAAGAAGGTTTCCTTTCCCCAGTCACTGTTATTTCAGTGATTTTCATACGCATAAATACCAACGGTTGCTTGTGGGTTTGTTTTTTTTAAGTATATGTTTTAAATGCAAGTGGTATTGAACATTATGTCTAGCATGACCCTAAACAGCTTGAAATCCTATAGAAAAAATACTACATTTATATTGCTTGCCCATTTTTCCAATGCAATTTGGAAATCTTAGCAAATATCTCTCTGTCAGCTCTGGGTTATCTGATAAGCTTCAAAGTACAGATTCCATCCTTTTCTTCTATATATTCCCAGCACTTGTTACCATTCTTACTATTACAATTTTTATATGTAAATCTGTATATATAGATTGGTTGGTGTCCTTGTGGTTCTTTTCTTTAGATCTCAACTTCTAAGTATCGTATATTCCAATTTACCAGAGGCAGTTTTAGGAGTCAAGAACACACAAGCTTGTACTAGCCCACACTTATTTTAGATTTTCCTTTTCAGCAACAATATAATTTTTCTATAGAATAAAAACATGCTGTTTGGGTTGAGATGAAAGCATGACTAATCACTGTGCCAGGCTCCTAAGAAGAATCTCATCTAATCAAGAAGCATGTTTTAGCTCTGACTAATCCTTGATAAATCAGAAAGTTTAGTAACTCAAATAATCAAAGGAAGGATTCTATTTTCTGCAGACACAGAGAGTTTAGAAATTATTTTCCTTTAACAAATCCAAGTTACTAATGCATTTGTCTAAAAGTCCTCACATTTGACACGAAGGGTATCACAAAGCATTCATTTGATTCACCACCATTGCAATTTACAAAGGGTTCAATGTCCTATATTAATGCTGTTTTTTAATTTAAAAAAAAATATGTCCACCATTCCAATACGTTCAAGCACATATTTACTTTTAGGCTGTATTATGTTAAACCAGATCTTATGTATTGTACTAGATTTGTACAAACATCCAAGCCAGAACTGGCTGGATTCAACATAAATTACAACCAAACAAAACACATCATACAAAGCATATTACGTGAAGATGATTTTCATGATCAGTAATTCACTCCTATTAAAGAGAACATGCTGAAATGAAGTGAGGTGAAAATTTAAAACCTGCTTTAGTTGATTAGAGTTAAGTATTCTCTGAAGCCAGATTCCACCTTCATCAGAACTTTGCTAGATGTTTTGGGGGGGCACACAGCATGTTTTCTTTCATGCAGGTATCAGAAGCTTTATTCTCCAATTATATGCCTCTCTCTCCCACAGCTGGAATAAGATAAACCTTGGCAAGGTTGAGTTAATTGCTAACTATCTGGAATTTCCCACAAAGATAATGACAGGGAGAGATAACAAAGGCAAATGGAGAAAGATGCTTTCCTTTAATGTTTTTGGAAGCACTTTTAACACCTGGTGGCTCGTTTCTCCAAACTGCAATGCCAGATACCAAGATGAGGCTGTTGTTACACAAGACAAACAACCATCTTTAGGCTGACTAGTCAGGAAGCGCTGCTGCAATATGATGTCAGCTGCAGAATGCAGATTGAGCTGTTGCTTTCTAAAGCAGCTTTCTTCAACCTTTGCAGCAATAGAGCAGGAATTTTTCCTAAAGCAGAAGCTTCACAGATGCAATAGCCCTCAGAAGTAGGGATTAAAAAAAGCAATTATAAATAGGGGCCATTTCAAATCTTGGCTGCTGCTTACAAATATGCTGCACCTTGGAATTAGGACTTTTACCTTCAGGTAAAAGGAATTGCCATTTTTTTTCACCTATTCACGGAAGCAATAGCCCAATAGTACAAATCTACAAATAGATTTGTAGACTTCAATTCCCAGAATTCCCCTGCCAGCACAAAATACACACATCTTAAAATTGCTAAGGTTGAAAAACACTGGCCCAATCCAAACTTCTCCAGCCTAGGCCCTAGCAAATAGCCAAAACATCTACAAAGTGCTTGGTGGCTGAAGACAGTTCTATCGGCCAGATGCATCGTCAAAAGGGTGTTTGGGGACCCAAAGGTTTGGTTCACATAACATACTCAGTCCTTATTTGTTCCAATTGTTTTGATAAATTAGTCACAATTGTTAAGTTCACACATTATAATAGCAATAGTTTACAAACTGTAGTGATAAGATTTACAAATTTTTGGGTTAAACAAAAATCATATAAACTTCACTAAAGTGTGTAAAACCAACACAGAACTTCTTTCCTATTGTAACAGGGGACTTTTCCTCACAACCATCTTAACAAGCTATTTTTTCAGTTCTTCAAATAACAAAAATTATGCTACCATAAATTGCACTGCACCATATTCCAACAGCCGTTGGTACTTTCTTACAGTTTTAATGCAGGCCAAGTTAAGGAATGTTAGCCCCTCCCCCAAAAAAGTCAATGCAGTCCTAGACTACACTAACAGAGGGAAAGTATCAAGATTGCATGAAAAAATTGGTACTATATACAGGTGAAACTCAAAAAATTAGAATATCATGCAAAAGTTCATTTATTTCAGTAATGCAACTTAAAAGGTGAAACTAATATATGAGATAAACATGCAAAGCAAGATAGTTCAAGCTGTGATTTGTCATAATTGTGATGATTATGGCATATAGCTCATGAAAACCCC